CGAATAAAGTAAAAAAGCAAGGTTTGCAAAATTACAAGCAAAAATTATAAGAAACCCAGAGCATAGTGCTAGCACAATTCAGCTGCTCTTTTTTTAGAACGGTAGCCGCGTGTTTTTCACTGTTATACATAAAAATAGTACTTAAATTATATATAAATCTAACGGATGACGCAAAAATATAAATGTTGCATGTATTATTTTACATGGACTATACCGATATATGATGCAAATTATGTGGTACTTGTTTCTCAAACTTTTTATCATCAAAAACCTCACCAGATAACCTTATTTCAAAATATTGTGCGTACATCCTATTAAAAAGCTTTCCGGTGCATCATGGCAGTTTCATGTTCAGCCACGTCCTTACTAACACTCTCTCCTTCTTCTTCCTTCATGGTCATTTTGATTTTTCAAATCTCTAAACAAACATTGCTACAGTTTCAAAGCATAATTGATAACATATATTTGTATACATTTTAGCCCTTATGGAATCAAGGAACACGAGATAATATGTGTTTCTGGACGGTCTGGCCTCGACTGTGCTAAGAAATTTGACTGTCAATGAGAAAGAGTTTATAAAAAAGAATGGTCAAAAATGCGTTCCCCAAAAAATGGCACACGTTCTGAAAAAAAAAGAATGCCTCCGAACGCATTTCTAGTAAAGACGAACGCGTTCTTCTGACAAACATGTTGTGACTGAACGCGTTGCTGAACGATAAGGACCCGTTCTTGAGGAAAGCGTTCGAATGCGTTCAATAGCAATCGCGCTCTATGACTGTGAGAACGCGTTCCTAAAGAATGCATTTGAACAATTCAAAAAGGATGCGTTCTTACAATCTTAGAACGTGTTCCTGCGTTTAACAAGAACGCATTTCTGATTTAGAAGAGTCTGTTCTTCAAGAGCGCGTTCGGATGCATTCAGTCAGCACGTGCTGTTACGTGAGAGAAACGCATTGTCAGAAGAAAAAGAATGCGGTTTTAATTGTCCAGGTCAAAAGTCAAAATTTTTAATCTAAGTCAAAAGAACAGAACGTGGTTGATTAGAATTCCGAAAAACCGACAGGCTATGACTCCTACATCTCAATTCTTGGACACGGCTGTCATTATTCTCAATCTCACTTTGGCGCTCGTGGCTCGACGCACAGCGCTTGCGCTCTGTTTGTTCGTCTGCTTGTCAGGATCTTGTTTTTTCGTGTCCTTCTCTCTCTCTCATTCATTTTCTTGTCCACACTCCTCTCTCTTCTGTTTTTCCTATAGTTACATTTCTCTCATTCTTCACACACTCTCATCCATAGTATCTATTGTGGCTCTGATGAGATCATCTAGTGTCTTGTCTCCCTCCCTCACCGCCTAGCGACAACAATAAAGTCCACAAGGATCTTTATAACATGTAAAGATAAAAATATCTGATAACAAGCGTGTAACAAGAATGCGCAAAGCTGTGGTCTCAGAACTAAGTTTTAATAATTAATTAAGTTTTAATAAAAGTCAGTACAATTCTCAAAACAATGTTGAATCGTCCAACACCATTCAAAACTATTTTAGTCAACTCAAAATTCGATTAGAATGATGTTAAGAACGACTGTTAAGATATCGAACGAATGTCTAAATCCACTTTCTGGTTAAATATAAACAAAAAATTCAACTGATAAGTAGTAAGCGTGGTACAGCCTAATAATAACTCGTTGGACTCGTGATCCGAAGATCCCCAGGTCGAATCCAGGACAAAGCAAAGAACAATGCACCCGAACGCCTTCCTTGAGACTGAGAATGCATTCCACTACTAGAAGAACGTGTTACTTCAGAACGGAGACCGAGCTTGGAGAGAAGCGCGTTCAGAGATGGGAAGAGCTGATTGAAAGTTGGGAAGTGCGGAGCAGTAAAGTTTCTATCAGTTAACAGGAACGTGTTCTTCTTAACCAAGAACGCGTTCGGCAAAAACGTGTTCTAAAGACGCTTTTATTGCCTAAGAACGATTTCTTTTAGAATGCATTCCTGGTGGAGAGGAACGTGTTTTCTTTTGCAAAAAAATGCGTTCTTTCAAGAGAAAACGAGTTCCAAAAGAACGCCAAAAGCGTTTTTAGGACGCGTTCTACTTCTTTAAGAACGCGTTGCCTGGACTACAATTTTCGATGTTATTAACTCCCAGAAACTGTACTGCTTTCCAATCAAATGTTACTCAGAAACAAAAAAACAGTCATTGAAAAGAGGTGTGACTATTATTAATCTTATAGATCTCTCTTCTGTCCTTATGAGAATTTCACGGAAGTCCAATTGACTCTCATCTTTTCCAGTACTATACAGTCACCAATTTTGATACCTCCAGAATCATCGATCTACGAGGAAGATGATGACGAAAACATAATTCTGTCGTGTAAATTGAAAAAGAACGATACGAAGGGAGAAGATCTAATACGGATGTAATGAAAGTACTAGGTTCGTTTGATTCTCACTGCTTAGATAAAAGAAAAACTATCTTGTTTTTGAAGATAATTTTAACGCAGCTATTATGGAGTTAGCATCACAAGGTCAGTATTCATTTGAAAAACTTAAACTTATTTGCTCACAATATGAAGATGCAAATGGTGTGATGCAACATGAAACTAAAAGTGCACAAAGTTATAAACACTTTATAGATAAAGATTTACCAACTAACGAAGCACATGCATGTGCATTTGCAATATCGTTTTATACAGGTTCAAAAAGTGAAACAATTAATGCTGGTGCAGCTATTCTTGCACGTAAACGTAATGGTGAAAAAGCGGTAAACACAATTGCTTCTGAAAGTGTGGAAACTAAAGCGATTATAATGTATTATTTAATTAAAGGTTTATCTTATATACCATTTTATTGGGGGATTATCTCAAGAGCTGCTAAATTAACAGAAGAAGAACTAAAAGATTATATTCCAGGAGCAGTAATTACATGGATACAATTTAGTAGTTCAATGAAAGGTTCATTTGCACCATAACACTTTGCTAAACGTAATGTATTATTTAGAATCTATTCTCTTACTGGTCGTCGAATACAAAAATTTTCAAATTTTCCAACAGAAGATGAAGTTTTATTTTTACCACATTCATCATTTATGGTTATTGATCGTCAAATAGAATCAAATAAATATGTAATATGTATGCGTCAAATAGAATTAGCATTATGTAAATGGTCTATATTATGGATTGATGATAATATATTTAATGAATCGTTCACCGTTAGGAGAACGTTTAAAATATCAAGATACATTTCGTATTGTTACAGATATGAATAGGTTAAATGAAAATCCAAGTGATAATGCTGGTGCACGTTAATCTACAATTTCAATAATCATCGTTTAATATTCACAGGTGATTATGAACACTCAGAACGACAAGTTAAAAAGTTACTATCCGTTACTGAACGTCAGTTTGTTACAATAACAACAAAAAAACGAGAACTTTTTGAATTTGTTAACTTTATATGACATTATTACACGTCTTTCGAATATCATCATACATAAGTTTTATTTTATATATTAAAAGCGAAAATTTGTTTTCTTATGCGGAATGAGATAACTCTGAAATAAATACACATTAATGTTTGATTGTATCATGCAAAAAATAACGAAAAGAACGTTGTTGAATATTTATCCATGAAAATCATTGTTGTTAAGTATACAGCTCTGATCTTTTTTCTATTTCATGATTTTTTATCACTTTTTTTGTGATTTTTTTGTGTAATTTTCTACAGAAAATAATATAATGTGTCTTCTCTTTCTAATTTTTAATAATTTATCCTCAGGTGAATCAGATCAAACAAAATTCTTTTTTCAAATACGTCTAGGTACGCACCTAGACCGAAGTTCGATACATAAGGCGCTGGCAATTCAGCAAGCTAGCAAAAAATTGTTTGGATTCCTTTCTGACATGATTGGATAGAGTTCATGGAGTTGCATAGACAAATAGCAGTATTCTTAAAAGACTTGCGGTGAGAATCAAGTATTTTCATTCTCTATTTTCCGGTGAACAGCTCATGCAATCGATTAGCATTTAATAAAAATTTGTTACCTAGTGTTTTATACGTAACTTGTATCCTTCTTTGTGTCGGTGCCAGCAATGGATTATGCTTTTATATTTTATTACCAAAAGCTGATTTAGATATAATATGAACTAATACGAGTGAGTAATAATTTATTTACAAAGAAAAGAAACTGTCTTTTAACAAAGAAAACCGGTCTGTTTATATAGGCAATATTGCGCAATCATCTTGAATATCGTGATGCAATAACCATGACCATATCCCTGCGTAATTATAAATAGGTCTTTTCGGAGGATGAAACAGAAAATGATGTAAGAACAAAAACGCCGTAATAAAATGTCCGTGCAATAAGGGAACAATGATGAAACATATTTACATCAGAGAACGAGGACATTAGGTCAGTGAATGAGAATTTCTAGAGTTCCTGAAGTAGATTTTCTACAATCCTGACAAGTTACAAATAATTTATAGCATAATGTAGGATTTTCAGAGATCCGCTAAAAGATCAATCTCTAAATAACCTGCCTTTTACCTTTTATTAAATGCCAATCAATTGGATGAGCTTTTAGAGAATATTTTGAAAGTTTGATTAATTTTGTGCTTCTTTTGACGCATTTTAGTACAGAATGGTTTTAGATGCAAAATGTGTTTTCCAGTCCAACCTCGCTGTTGTCTGTCTTTTGATTCCCAGATAAAATAACATTAACACAGTGTTCAGCATGGCCGATTACATATATCTGAATGTATTTTAAGGTCAGCAGATGAGAATAGTTTGTGAGTAGATACCCTAGTCATCGATTCTTATAAAGCCATCAGACAAGAATCTTACTAAAAACTTTTATGGATCCTATAAGATCTAGGTAAGAATCTTATCACGCTCTTACAAGATTCGTATATAGGAAAACGCTTGAAGTGCCACGAATTTCGTAAGAGTTTTATAGGAATCTGATAAGAGATTTATAAGAACTTCATAAGAAAGTGATAAGACTTTTCACGTTATTCTTATTTATCTTGATGTGTAGCAATGAGTGTAATAACTTGCTATCCGATGGTGAGTGCTATACAAAAGGTTCTTTTGTAATAGCGTCTAGTGCTTTATCAGGACAGGTATGTAAAGGATTTTGATGCATATTACTAGTACTCGAGCTGCTCTATCTTCTACCACTTAGCGAGTCCGACTTGAATGCCACCTTTATAGAGGTAAAAAGATCGAAAGCTTCGTGTTTTGCTTCAGATCAGTTTGAAAAAGCGGAATTTATGCAAACATGCGAGTTATCGTGCTCTCAATTTTCTTTGTATGTAATTTAATTTTTTCAAACTTTATTCTCGTCCTGCAGTGAAGAGTACCGCCAGTCTACAGACAGTAGGGGCTTAGAACGAGTCGTGAAGCTACCTTTCTGGAACCAAGGTATCGTCATAGAAAAATGTATAAAATTATTCTCGTCTTACGTCAACATGTGGAGCAGCTTTTCCAGATAAGATGTTCATAAGAAACAGATAAGAATAACATCAGAACTCTTAGCAGTTTCTTATGAAGTTCTTACAAATCTCTGATCAAATTCTTATAAGACTCTTATGAAATTTGTGGCATTTCGAGCGTTTTCCTGTATAAGATTATTATAACATTCGGATAAGATTTCCATAAGAATTTCCAAAAGCGTTTTGTCTAGGGTAGGTTCCAGCAAAATGACTGTATCTCCGAAACGATGGTAATTGGCGATCTTGGATATGCATAAGTTTGTATCGAATACTTGAGACTATTATCTGCATTATATCGTTATAAGAGATGTTGAAGAATCGTGTTTGAAAAACAACATTTGAGCTTTTGGATATAGTATGTAGTGAATTGCTAGCGTAGCTGAGATAGTAGATTAATGAAATTAAACTCACTTAATGACTCAGCTTAACTTCACAAAGGACATTGTAATCAGTGCCTTCACAGCAAACACACAACACTCCGCTTATCCTGAATACTTCACGAAATATTCGTTGAAACAAACCGAACCGAACGAAAGTCTTTATTCCATTTTCTTCCTTAAAAATCAAAAATTTCAAAAGCTAGGAAGTTTTGTAGGGCGAGTCCATCTGAGCATTCGTACTTAACATTTGCGGCAATTTGCGCTAAGTCCGGACGAAGCATCCCATTTCTAAGACTAAATCCGAGGCTTCAAATGTTAAATCTAAAGGATAACTCACCATAGATAGTATGAGTGGCATTTGCCGAAAACGAAAAAAATCCTAAAATTCTCCCTCTCACCTCCGTAAATTGAAGAATTTATCAAACTTAGAAAAATGAAAAAAAATAGTAGTTGACAGTAATAGTAAAAGCGCCCTTCGATTCTCTTCGGGATACTCGTTTCGAGGGAAAAAAATGAACAAAAACCCAAGTTTAATCACGATCTGAAATAACCCGTGGAAATGGCGACAAAAAAGCTAGAAGTGTCTTTTCTTCGAGAAAATTGCTCCAGTTTAAGAGAATAGCCGCTACTCACTTAGCGCCAACTGTAAAAGTAATTTTCTTTCAAATCATTATATGTGTAAAGATGAAACCTTTAAAAAATGTGTAAGTAATAGTCACGATTCTTTTCCCAAAATTTCAGCTCGACAATCTGACATAAAAAAATCGATGTTTCAACCTCACCCATAATGATATCGAACAGAGCGAAACATTTATTAAATAGCTATAATATAATAAAAGAAGAACAAACATCATATTTAAAAAAGAGCATTTTTATGTCCTAGAAAATTTGTTCATTTATTGAGGATTGATGGTCTCGCCACTTTTATACCAATGCTTGTTTTAAACCTATAACAACCCATAAAGACAATACAGCGTTTGACTCCAGCAACAAAATACGTGTTCGATGTGTTTCTTTATTGGCCAAGTAAGCACAAACAGCAGCAACACATATCTGCGAAATATGTCCATACAGACAACAAATCCAAAAACTATGGTACAACTAAACCTAAAATTACATTAAAACCAAATATTGCGATGTGTTATGGCTATTAAACCGTTTTATAAATCAACAGTATTGCTGATGATATTAAGCTTAGTCTTTGTATGAGAAACTAACGTACAAAACCTGAGATGGTGTACCTGCAGAGTATTTGAAAAGTCAACTTGCTAAACAAAAAGCTTTTGTAGCCGTGGATGTCCCTCAGTGTAGTCTTATAGCCTGGAGTACCCTCTTCAAATTCGATCCTCCACAATTCATGGTTTTTACGCATAACATTAGTTTCCTGGTAGTTCAAACCTCAAATACCTGAGATAATCTCGGATATCTAATAAATGAATGGAAAGATAAGTTATCAACCAATCTGAATATAGTGCAATGTTTGTTTTCAGACAAAAGTGGCAAAATCTAGTGAACATGAAACATGAGAAAAATAGGTTTTTATATGTTTGTTTCTCATACAAATGCACATCAAATCATAGGCTACAAAATGGCGAAAATTCTACCTCTCTAGATTTTTCCTCTTACACGATATTTGAAACACGATGTTGACATCATGTTGTTGTGTTCTCCGAGTAACTGTGTTGAACGGCGGAAGTAAGAAGGAAGAATATCCCGCCTTGTGGTTACCATTACAATATGGAGTGCTGCCAATGGCAGTATCAATAGCCCGATATCTTCCTGCAGTTGACAAGCTTCTGAGACGGTCAGCCATATCGTTACTACGTACCCTAAGCGATGTGGAACGGAGATCTCCGGAGTATTTCCGAACGAGAATGTTTAGCAGTCGTTTGGGGCTGGACACACTTTAGAGCTTATATTGAAGGAGTTAAAGTGAAGGTATTAACTGATCATAAGGCACTAAAATGGCTTCAAAACACAAAAGATCTTTCTAGCAGATTAGGACGCTGGACAATGAGATTAGCCGCTTATGACGTGGATATCGATCATAGACCAGGAACACAGAACACTAACGCAGATGCTCTTTCCCGATATCCACTAGATGAGATCACACTAGAAACTGCGAGCAAATTGGCTGACGAAATTATTCCGATTTCGTTTCTTAACATCAATGTTTCGAGTAGTCTTAGTTTACTACAAGAAATTAGAAACGTTCAATGGGAAGACAAAGACCTCAGTCCTACTCTTAACTTCCTTCAAAATCAAACTCTACCTCCTAATCCTAACCTTCATAAGAAAATTACGGTTCTAGCTCAAAAACATCGGGTGATAGATGGCATATTATATCGAATATATCATTCTTCGATAAATACACATTCAAACATTCAAAAACCCGACGAAATTGAGCAAAGAGACGCTAATATTTTTCGTTTCTCTTTACAAAAAACTCGAAGAGAATTGCTAGTAATACCAAGGTCGAAAATAATAGGCATGCTACAAATGGCACCCGACCACGGTATGTCCACACACCTAGGCAGGAGAAAAACTACTCATAGGTTAGCGTCTAGGGTTACCTGGTAGGGCTGTG